ACCACTCTGCACATGTCAGTACTGCTGTTCAGAACAAAGCCTGCTGCATGTAAACGCTCGTCATGAACAGATTGTGCCCATGTAAACAACACATTTGAATTATTCAAACAGAACACATTTCAATCCGCTCAAAGAATTCTGCGCATGTAAACATAGCTAGTGATAAGGTGGTCATGTAGACGGGCTGCCACAAATTTTTCTTGCACTTTGGACAAAAATGGAAGGTTGACAACATGTCTATAGTTGATATGGTGGGCTGGTTCCAAGGTGGGCTGTTTAAGAAGGGGTTTGATGATAGCAATTTTCAAGGTAGGTGGGACAAAACCTGTTTGAATGGAGAGGTTTATCACAGATGTGATCAAAGGACTGATGAAAGAGATGTTTCTTTTCAGCAGAGCAGTGGGGAAAAGGTCGAGAGCACAAATAGAGGATTTCATTCCTTTGATAATAGCTGTCACTTCTTGCTCGGAGACTGATTCAATTCAATTCAAAAATACTTTATTAATCCCAAAGGGAAATTATTTGTTGTTGTAACTCGTTATCTTCATTTCATTAAGAGATGTTATAGATGCTGATGCTGTAGGCAGGAAGGATCTCTTGTAAAGGTCCATCCCACAGTGGATCCTAAGAAACTGGCTGCAGATGCTGTTCGATCCGTCCACCCAGACTCAGCTGGCCTCTCGGTTCCCCCGGGCTGTAGGACCGCCTGAATGCAGAGCAGAACTCCTCCCAGAGCGATGGCCACTCCTCCCAGAAGTCTGCCGAGCTCCTTGTTGCTGCAGACAGCCAACTGTAGGTGCCGAGGGACGATCCCGTCCTTCCGCTGTCATGAGCCGTGTTTCCTGCTAGTTCCAGGATCTCAGTGGTCAGGCACTCGAGCACAGCTGGCAGGTAGATGAGAATGCGTCCACAGAACATCCTTTTCAACTCATTTGAGATTTGGGGCTGTAGTTGAGATATTATTTGAGCTTTTGAGATGTTAATCAGCTGCTGTTGGTTGTAGAAACTGCCTTGTTGCCATGGTTACGTATCATAACAAATGTCCAAAACTAAAAAAGTTTCAGTAAAAATCCGTCCAGCTGCACAGCATCTGATACCAGAGGAAACAATCATCCAAAAAATGTGATTTACATCCAGAAAAAGAGGAATTTAAGTTTCCAAAAGGAAAATCTCAGAATGAAACAGAGCTGCTCCAACATGCAGCCACCTGGAGCGGAGCAATTGTAGAATACCTAATGATGTAAAACATCGAAGAAGTTAGGATTTTGATCCTGGGACTTGTAAAATGGCACAGATGAAACTACCAAGTTTGTCAGGGC